GGAGGGAGGGAGCTGCGGCTAGCACTATCTTCAGGGATTTCTGTAATATGAGATCTACCACCGAACTAGGTCTTATTTGCGGGGTAGGTCTTATATTACAGAAATCCCTGAAGATAGTGCTAGGTCTTATTTTTGGGGTAGGTCTTACTTTCGGGGAAACACGGTAGCAGTGAAACCCTGACAATGGTTCTAATCTTTCTCCACCCTTTCCAAAACCATGGCTTGATATACACCAAATGCAACCACCAAGCCACCACTCTGGCCAAATAATGATTTTATCCTTCATTTAGGAGCCACCTGCGTTTTAAGGAATACATTTTCCGTTACTGAGTTCTGGAGTGACTGCAGAAAATACAATGTAACTGCATTTCTGTACATTGGGGAAATACTTCGATATCTGTGTAATACTTTAAAGGTATGCATTTGTGTTTATGGTAATATTAACATAGCATTATTTTAATAGCATTTTTCTGTACTGTTGTTGTTTCTTTGGTGTATTCTTTTTTTGTAGTTTTTTAGCTGATAAGAAAAAATGGAGTCTAGCAACTTGAAAAATCTAAACAGGCAATACATTTGTTCCTTTTTTTAAATGTATTTTACCGTTATATACCAAGGAACATCAAGTAGCAGTAAAGTACACCAAAAAGAGCACTACAGTGTACTGTCTTTTGTGTCTAATGTGTCTACATTTTTTGAAGTGCTTTTTTCTCACCTTTTACACACCTATTATCTAAAACACCAAATGTAACACTTAGTGGGGGCTGTGGGGTTTCCTTTATTATATATATATATAACTGTATGTACAGTATTTGACTATGTATATGTATCTCTATGTAACTGGGGTAACCCAGCACCTTATTTTTAATAGTATTAGACTGGGTGTTATTTTTAGCATTTGTCATTTTGTAGAAAGACACTGACAAAGAACACAGTGTGCGGTTTGCCCTAGGCAATGGTCTCAGAACTGATGTTTGGAGAGAGTTCACAAATCGATTTGGTAACATTACACTTTATGAGTTCTATGGAGCAACAGAAGGGAATGTTTTCTTTTTTAACTACAGCAATAAAGAAGGTGCGATTGGCAGAAACAACGTGTTTCTAAAGGTAAGGCATGACAACTAGTATGTTTCTGATACTGTATTACAATGTAAAGCAGAGTTTCATCCAAAACACATTTATTTGGGTGGCACAAGGAAAGCAGTAGTCATAAAAAATTGGAAAATACTAAAGCCATTTGGGAAAATCTGCCACACTTAAGTCCTCTGTCTACCTCAATTTCTCTCTGCCCTACACCTAAAACAGACAGCACAGGTAATGAATAAATAGTTTACAGATATGATAAAACAGAAGAAAGGTGGAGCTGCTGACCATAGCATTCTTTGTTTCAATAAAAGGATTAAACCTAAATTGTTAGCTATGGAAAGCATCTCTAATTTTGAATCCAATCCCCTCCACAGAAACTTTAAGAATTGTTGCAGATGGAGGCTGGAAATCATGTTTACAGTGTCAGTAGCCTTGTTACCCAAAGCTATCTATTTATTATGCTGTCTATCGTGAAAGAAATACAAGGACTGCTCTCAGGGGCGTATTCTGAAATCACAGGGCCCACAGCAAAATTATGTATGGGCTGCCCCCCAGCCGTCTCCCCACCCAAAAATAAAAAAAAGTACCTAACTCCAGAACACATTCCCATGCCTGTGCTGTCTCCATCTCCTTCTCTTCAGCTCTGTTCCTGCTGGAGCTACTTGAATTTGGCGCAAGAGTTGATAAAGGTCCAGAAAATGGCACAGCATGTTTTAGAAATTGATGCAGACATTTCTAAGGCTGCATTAGAGCCAGATTTCTGCCACAAACGCGATAATGAATTCCCCTGATTTTATCTCCTTGAAATAATTTAAACTTAAAAATAAATATTTTGAATTTAATGTAACAACCAGAGTTGATGTAAGTGTCTGGTTTTGTTTTTATATCAGCTTCCTCTTATCATCTGCCCCCATAAACATGAGATATGCTGAGCTGTCATTTAATGTTTAATGTAGAAGTAGTTTAAAGTTACCTAATTACAGGCATTTGCAGCTATAACAACTGTTATCTTTCCAATAGTTTGCAAGCAATTTAAAATGTGCAAAATTCCACCTTAATAATTTTGACTGGCAGTAGTGACTTTTTATTTGTAATCTTTCAGCTTTTACAGCCTTTCGATGTAATCAAATACGATATGGAATCAAATGTGCCTGCATTGGATCACAGAGGACGCTGCATCAAGGCAGCAACAGGTAACATTTTTCTTTTATTCAGTCTTTAGGTCCCTACATCAGGGGCGGACTGACAACACTTGGGGCCTCCGGGCAATATGAGATTATGGGGCCCCCTTGTGCAGAGGTCAGTTGTAATGCAGAGTGCAGAGGTCAGTTGTAACGCAAAGTGCAGAAGTCAGCGGCGTGACGCAGAGTGCAGAGGTCAGCGGCATGACACAGTGGGCAGAGGTCAGAGGTGTGACACAGTGGGCAGAGGTCAGCGGTGTAACGTAGAGTGCAAAGGTCAGCGGTGTGGTGCAGAGGTCAGCAGTGTGATTCAGAGTGCAGAGGTCAGCAGTGTGACGCATAGTTCATCAGTGTGATGCAGAGTGCAGAGGTCAGTGGTGTGACGCAAAGTGCATAAGGGCTGCGTTCGGGTCTCACCAGGGCTGCATGCTTGTCTCACCAGGGCTGCATGCTTGTCTCACCAGGGCTGCGTTCGGGTCTCACCATGGCTGTGTGCGGGTCTCACCACAGCTGCGTGCGGTTCTCATCATTGCTGTGAGAGTGGGTGCGAGTCTCCCCAGTGCTGTCTGGGCAACAGGGTCACAACATGGCTTTGTGGAGGGTGCGGGTGACTGGGTCTGACCATGGATGTGCTGCCGGTGGGAAGGAGGAGGAGCTGTGCGGTATAGGAGCATCCTTATTTACAGCAATGCAGGATGGCATAGGCTATAGAGGGCTACACATCCCAGCAATACTTTAAACAGCAATAGCATTGCTGTATAAAGTAATGCTGGTATTTGTAGTCCTCTATAGAGGGTGCCATTCTGCAATGCAAAATGGCACCTTCTATAGAGGACTACAAATACCAGCATTACTTTATACAGCAATGCAGTGCAGAATAATTCCATCAGTTATAAAGGACTATAAATAATGACATTTTTACAACATAATCAAAATATAAGGTGTCCCCAAAAGAATAGAAATCCCTTACTCGGAGCTGGTTCAATAAACAGGTAGAAAATACATGATTTAACAGTTAGAATATTTAATCATAGAAAAAGTTTTAACATTACATCCACAACAAGACATTTAAAAACAGTTAAAAAACTTCCCTAGGGTAACAATAATATAAGAATCATGGGTGGTCTGCACTCCAGCTAATGTGGTAATATAGAGTAGCCACCTAATATATAAATATCTCATATGTGGGTACAATGTATCCCGGGTTACTCACAACTCATGTTGCTCAGGGAGCTCAGGGAGAGGCAGTCCTGCTCGGGTTCCACAATGCTGGATGATGTGTTTGCTTCAATAGATAATTGTAATTGGGATCAGGAGATGGGGATAGATAGGCTGGGCTAAAGATGCAAGTGCCCTTGCCTTTTTCCCCTTGCTTGGGGCTCTCACTGGCCCTTGGGCTCGAATTTCAAATTTGAGAGCTAACCCAAAAGCATTTCCGTGTAGATGTGTGCGGCCGCACAATAAAGCAGAGAAGTATATGCAGGAATCTCAAAGGTAGACGGTTCCCAGTACGATGATTGTGCAGAGTACAGCAAGCTGTCGTCCGGTCGTTTCACTCAGACTCTGCTGGATGAGTTAAGGATTCCAATGCAGGCTTGACTTTAATCCAATCCCAGCCGACTGGGCTCCATCTCCGCACCGTCAAAGCCCAAGCTGACAGTGATACTGCTGCGGCTGATGTGCGGGATGAGCTTTGATGAGTGTCCAGGGAAGTTGAATGGCACACATAACCCTGACGCGTTTCCTCCCCACTCAGGGGCTTCTTCAGAGGGGTGTGTGCTCTAAGTCTTGTATGGATGCAATAAATAGCCGATTGATAAGGCTGATTGGTTGCCAGATATCAAGCAGTCAGCCGACCATGTCATTTTTTAACAAGATATACTTTGAATATTACTTATACTTCAATGTAGCAAAATGGCACCTGTAGGCCCTTAGATAACAATTCTGGGACCCTTTTCAGTCTATAGTCATAAGGAAAAAGTGATACAGAAATAACCCTATAACAGTCATCTATGTCCATACGGACTTGATGTTTAAAATAGAGGCAATTTGAACGGGTTATTCATGGGGGTCACATAAAGGTTTCATAAAGATTTGGGGTTAATTTCTGATGTTATAGCTGACATCGTATTAAGGAAAAAGTGATACAGAAATAACCCTATAACAGTCATCTATGTCCATACGGACTTGATGTTTAAAATAGAGGCAATTTGAACGGGTTATTCATGGGGTCACATAAAGGTTTCATAAAGATTTGGGGGTAATTTCTGATGTTATAGCTGACATCATGGTTGTCAGAGTCACAGAGTAATATGTTAAAATAGAAAACAGCATAACATCAGATTGTAGAAATATAAAATAGAGTGGTTATACTGCACAACCCCATAATTGAACAGCCCGTTCAAAGATTTTTTCCATGATGACAAACAGAGCCTTAGGGGGTCCCCTAAATAATTCAAAAATATATAAATATATAAATAGAAAATCGAATAGTCAGTTTACAAACAGTAAGATATATATCACAAGAGTGACCAGTTGTACTCAAAAATAACAATATGTAATCTGAATATGAATATAAATATAAAGGCTTCGACTATTGAAGCAGGAAGCATTATGTTCGGTGTATGCATTATTCATTAGCACAAATACTAAAGATCCTCCAAAAATTTTGGCATTGTCTGACCAGAGACTCCTCTTTTTCTATGATTAAATATTCTAACTGTTAAATCATGTATTTTCTACCTGTTTATTGAACCAGCTCCGAGTAAGGGATTTCTATTCTTTTGGGGACACCTTATATTTTGATTATTATTGTTGAAACCCTGGAGACTGGTATAGCATATTATATTATATTATCCGGTTCAGCGTAACTCCACTCTGTTCCCCTATATGTTGCATTTTTACAACATAGCGTCCTTTTGGCTGGTCTGCTTCAAGTAGTTTCTGACAAAGTTCAGTCCGTGGGCTCTTTAATCATGCAGCTGCTCGCCGGGTTCTCACAGCTGCAGTGTTTTTGATCCTCCGGCTCCCTCCTCAGTATCCGGCAGCAGGCCCCCCATCTCTGCGCCAGGAGAAGCCATTGGTATGTGTGTGGGATACTGGGCCCCCCTCCTTCCTCTGACCTCTCCACACCTTCCTCTCCTTCACGATATGCTCCTCTAGTGGTCCCAGTGTCCCGCCGTTATAGCCTGCTGTCGCAACCACTTACAGCCCCGCCCGGAACACTGGAAGGACTACAGATCCCAGCAGGCCATGCGGGGGAGCTCTGATCTGCTCTACATACAGGCCGGCATGGGGCATAATGAGAATTGTATCTTGGGGAGCAGAGGGCACGGGCCCTCAGGCAGTTCCTGACTGCCCTAATAGTCAGTCCGCCCCTGCGGCGGAGTATGTTTAAGTGAAAATGTTTGCCCAATATATCCAGACATGGATTTTGTCTGATGGACCCATTGACATCTTTCATCCAAGTCTGGCCGAGCACATTCAGTGGATGATACAACTAGCCAGATTTACAACCAGCTATTGTTTTTCTTCTGGGAAAGGTCAGTGTTGTGAACATTAGGGGTTGGATCGTGCGTGCACATTTGGTTGCCATCAACTACCAGTTCTGGCAACAAGAATATGCTGACTAGAAAACAAATGAAGACCCTTGTGTGTGAAAGACACAGAATAAAGTTCCAATATATTTTTAGTTTTTGTGATAAACAACAAAAATGTATGACTGATACCCCAAAAAAAATTAGGTGATTATTTTCTCTCATATTCCTCCATCACTCTACTGTGATTGCCACACACCTTTTCAGCAAAGCATATACCTAAAATAAGACACTGAATACTTACTAGGGATGAGGTTCAGGTTCGCCTGGATTTATGAAGTTCAAAAATGATGCGATTGTGGCCAACAACTTTACAGTTTCACTGCCAGAAATAAGTAACACATATAATGCAGTGCATAGCCTTTGTCCTTGTTCACAAGAGTCAATAATTTGAAGGAATGTATAACCCAGGCACCGTGCTATAAGAGGGGGGGTGGGCACACAGCAGTGTGTGTTGGGGCTTGTAGGTAGAGCTGACTGTTCTGTGTGGGCAGCTTTTTTAATTAATTTTAATTTTCTTAATTTTGACACTGGTACATGTCCCCTATGGCAGCACCTAGCTCCCTATTCCCATTGTTTAACAATGGCTTGCTTAGTAGCCCCACAACAGACCACAACTGACCCGGAATTGAAAATAGGAATCTTAGAATATACAAATAGTTGAAAAGATCCTCAAAGCTTACTGCAGAGACCCATTCACAAGAACTGAATGAGTATCTGCAGTAATCTTTGTTTCTACATAATATAAAATACCCTTTTTATAAAATATATTTAAAGATATGGACAGCCAATGCTGTAGATGTAAAAATGGGATCAGGATTTTCAGACATATGTGACAGTTTATGGGACAATAATCTCAGGCCAGCAGACCGAGAGTGATCGTCACAAGGATTGGTTAACTCTGCAGTTAACCCTTTATACACCAAATGTTCACTGCACCACGTACTTTAACAGAAGTATGCACCGATCTCAGCAAGTGCTGTGACACTTTAAAAAACGTAAACAAAGCCTATGATACCGATGTCCTCTCAGACAGGAATATGACAGGTTTTACTTTACATTAGCGCTCTTCACAGATGTAAGGATACTTTAAGTTCGTATTTAGAGCATAGAGATAAGCTTAACAATTTTAAGATCATCCTTTAAAAAGAGAAATGGTGCAGAAAAAAATACAGAAAAAGATATTAATAAAGTGAGACAAAATATATAACAACAGTAAAATAAAAGGGAATAAAGGAGAATACTTAACAGCCCTGATTTTAGGAATTCTGACAGAGTCCAAAGTCCAATAAGCAAAAGAATGACTTTTCTTCAAGCAAGGCTTGCACAAATGATGTCCAGATATTAAAGGGGAACTCTTTTGCGATGTTACGACTTCTTAAGGTTGACAGAGTTCGTTTCCTTGATATTACAAAC